TGTTCAAGATCGGTGACAAGGTGGTCAGCTCGTTTGGACTTAACTACGATGTCGTCGACGTAGGCCTCGACGGTCTGCCCGATGAGGTCCCCGAAGCAGTTGAGCATACAGCGCTGATAAGTTGCCCCGACGTTCTTTAGACCGAACGGCATTGAGACGTAGCAGAATGATCCAAAGGGGGTGATAAAAGACGTCGCGAGCTGGTCGGACTCTCTCATTGCGATTTGGTGGTAGCCGGAGTAGGCGTCAAGGAAGCTGAGGGTTTCGCACCCTGAGGTAGAATCAACTATTTGGTCTATGCATGGCAAAGGAAACGGGTCCTTTGGGCACGCCTTGTTGAGACCTGTGTAGTCGACACACATCCTCCATTTCCCGCTCTTCTTTCGTACAAGAACGGGATTTGCTAACCACTCTGGGTGGTGTACTTCCCTGATGAATCCGGCGGCCAACAGTTTTGCTATTTCTTCGCCGATGGCCTGGTGCTTTTCCTCGTCGAAGCGGCGCAGGCGTTGTTTCACCAGCTTTGAGCCTGGGTGGATTTTCAAACTATGCTCGGCGACCTCCCTCGGGATGCCTGGCATGTCCGAGGGTTTCCACGCAAAGATGTCTCTGTTGTCGCGGAGGAAGCCGACGAGCGCGCTTTCCTATTCGGAGGAGAGCACAGTACCAATGCGTACCGTTTTTCCCTCAGAGCTGCTGGGGTCTATGAGGACCTCTTTGGAGCCTTTCGCCGACTCGAACGACCCACTTGATTTCTTTGCGTTGGGTGTTTCTTCGGCGACCTCCTCCTTGAGGGCGGCGAGCTCCCCGGAGGTGATGATTGCTGTGGCATGGCCGCAGCACTCGACCTCACACTCGTAGGCCCGCTGGAAAGAGGTGCCGACGGTAATGACCCCATGTAGGCCCGGCATCTTTAGCTTGAGGTATGTGTAGTTGGGGACGACCATGAACTTCGCGTAGCACGGTCGTCCCAGGATGGCGTGGAAGGTTCCGAGGAACCCCACCACGTCGAAGGTGAGGGTCTCAGTCCTGTAATTGGACCGATCCCTAAAAGTAACGGGCAAATCGATCTGCCCCAGTGGCATGGCCTGTTTGCCAGGCACGACGCCATGAAAAGGCGCTCAGATGGGGCGGAGGTTCGTCCGGTCGATGCGCATCTCGTCGAGCGTCTTGGCGTACATGATGTTGAGGCCACTGCCTCCGTCCATCAGCACTTTCGTCAGTCGCTTTGGTCCGACGATCGGGTCGACAACAAGTGGGTACCTTCCTGAGTGTGGGACAGCATCCGGATGGTCGGTCCGGTCGAAGGTTATGGCGGACTCTGACCATCGGAGGAAGGCAGGCGTGGCCGGTCTGGCCGTATAGACCTCACGGCGCGCGACCTTCTGGCGTCGCTTGGAGTCATAGGCCGTTGATCCTCCGAAGATCATAAGGGTGCCGTTTGGTGACGGGAAGGCGTCGTCCTTCTCCTCGTCGTTGTCCGCGGTGGGGGCAGGTTCCTTCCCCTGCTCCCCCTTGTTGGTGCTTCCGAGCAAGAACTTCCGCATGAGACCGCAATCTTTGAGCAAATGTTTTACAGGAAAAGCGTGGTTCGGGCACAGCCCTTCGAGCATTTTTTTCGAAGTGGTTCGGAGTGCCCTCCGGGGGCTTCCGACCACCCTTGTGGTCAGCAGCGGCTATGAGCGAGTCGTCGCGCCGTTGCTTCTTATTCTTTCTCTTGGCGGAGCGGTTGGAGACGCCCTCGCCGGCGCCCTCGTCCTGCCTTGCCTTGCTGTCGAAGCGGTCAAAGATTGCTCCGACGGCTTCCTCCCCTGAGGCGTGGCTGGTGGCGATGTCAAGGAGTTCCTTGGTGGTCCACGGGCCCTTTCATCCCAGCTTATGGACCAAGGACTCACAGGTGGTTCCGGACAGGAAGGCTCCTATCACGTCGGCATTGGCGACGTTGGGGAGCTCATTGCACTGCCGGGAGAAGCGCCGGATATACCCGCGGAGGCTTTCATCGGCCTTCTGGCGGCAGTTCTTGAGGTCCCATGGGTTCCCAGGACGCTTGTACGTGCCCTGGAAGTTCCTCACAAAGATTTCCCTCAGATCCGCCCAACTCTGAATGGCGTTGGACGGTAGGTGCTCCAACCATGCTCGTGCCGAGTCGGCCAAGAATAGTGGGAGATTTCAAAAAATGAAGTCATCATCATTCGCGCCACCGGCTTGGCCGGCAAGCCGATAGTCCTCGAGCCAAAGCCCGGGGTTTGTTTCCCTAGAATATTTAGGGATGTTGGTAGGTGGTCGATACCTTAGTGGGAAAGCGGCGTTGAGGATGTGCCGGCCGAAGGCCTGAGGGCCCGGCAGGCCGGGGCTCGGGCTCCGGTCCTCGCCGCTGTCGTAGCGTCCGCCACGCCGAGGATGGTAGCCGTGTTTGGCTCCTTCTCTTGAGTCGTCGTAGGCGTGTCTCCGGGCGTCGATGGTGTTGCGTGCGTCGCGGTTGTGGCCGAGTCGTTGATGCACCGGGACAGCGGTATGCTGCCTGTCGCCTGGAGGTGTCTGGTGGACCGACGCGTCCTTGGCAGGGCGCACCGAGGGCGTGCGTTGGCTGGTGTCGAGCTCGCGTCGCCGAGACAACGAGCTTTCTGCCTACTGCGTCGCCGCACGCTCAAGCAACGTGCGAATCTCTCGACGGGCCCGACGATCCTCGGACGTCGCGGCCTCTGGAAGGCCGTGAAGCAAGGCCGTCGCAGCGGCGATGTTCTGGCTTGCCCGGGCGAAGTGAGGGAGGGTCCCGTCGTCGGTGAGGATCCTCTGGTGTACGTCACGGGCGGTGGCGCGTGCGTGCCCACCGTCTCCGCGACGCTTGATTTCCTCGTCGATCTTTCGGTACTCCCGAACAAGCTGTTGTCCGGCGTCATCGATTTCCAGCATTCGTGCTCTCAGCTGCTCCATCCTCATGTGAGGTGGGGCGGCCGCCTCCCCTCCGGTCCTAGCGTCGGGGTTGCCTGCCAGGGTAGTCTCCTCGGAGACGCTTTCGACATGCCCCTCAGGGGTTTCCACCATGAAGCATCCCCGGGAAGGGTGATGGCTCCCCTTGCTGGAGTCAGAGCTAGAGGATGATTCTAGCTCCTCAGTGAGGAGCTTGTAGAGGGACCCCGTGTCGTGTTCGATTACCCCCACGAACTCGCTGTCCGCGAGCGGTTGAACCATGCGTAATGCCACGAGGTGGCCAGCGGTTGCCGCAGCGTTGCGGAGACCGAACAGAAACGCTGTCGAGGCGCTCCGCACATGGCGTTCCAGAGAGAGGTGCCCCTCTCCGGAAGGTCGTGCCACGTCGTCGTCATTGGAAAGGGCGAGGCGATGCTGGTTCTCCTTGGACTGCTGGGTTCCAAGGGAGACGTCGAGCTGGCACCCAAGCCCCTTGTGGTCGAGGACGATGGAGGGGAGAGATTGGATGGCGGTGCGTGCCCGTACCAACTCTCCTCCCATCGTGATGACAAAATCTAGGCTCCCGAAGCGCACATGTGCGCCTGGGACCCAGCTGACGTTGTGGTTAGCCATCCGTGGCCTGGTTTTGAACGCGCAAAGGCCCCTACCTGGCGCGCCAACTGTCGGTGTTTCGAACAAGCACCGGCAAGTAAATTTATAATTGATGCGCGTTAGGCCCGGATGGTGCGCTAATGGACATAAGGTTTATACTGGTTTGGGCTGAATGTCCCTACGTCCAGTCTGTTGCTGCTCGTGTTATTAGCACCGAAAGAGGTTCATAGTAGGGGGTACAAACGATCGAGAGAGGGACTGGTCCCAAGTCTCTGATGGAAGGGTCGAAAGGATGCTAGGGGGGACTGGTCCCAAGTCTCTGATGGAAGGGTCGAAAGGATGCTAGGAGCCTGGTGGCAGCCTAGCTATGTGTGTGATGAGTACTACTGAACTCTCTGTGAGTTCATTTGTGTCTGTGTTTCGTTGAAAAGTCGGTCCCTCTAGTGGGGAGCCCTGCCCTCTCTTTTATAGACCAAGGGGGGAGCAGGGGTTACAGATGGGAGAAAGAGAAAAATGCTAAGGGTATAAAAGGTCCTTCGAAGGATCCCGGTCTTCCTTTTTCCCTGTGCCTGCCCTGTATAACATGGCAGACAGTGTCAGAAATGGCGTGTTCATTGATCTTCGTAGGCCATGCCCTGGCTTTATTTAGCAAGTGGGCGCGTCCCTTCCCGCCCCTGCGGGCGGCGTGTCGGACAGGGTTGTCAATTTCTGACCCCGTGGGGAGCGGATGGCGCGGTGACTGCACGTTTGCCATCGTAGAGGATGAGAGTCCCTCCTTGGAACGTAGTGGTTGTCGTATGCCCGTGTCGGGTTCTTCGCCTGGAGGCTGAGGGCGGCGCCTACAATACTGTAGGGCGGAAAGCATGCGCCTGCAACACTGTTCCGGCTCTGCCACACCTGGAAGGGTCTAAGCGCTCGCCCTGTCACATCCTGACGGTACTTCCCTGCAGGGGCGCAGGGCATGGTCCTTGATGTCGCGGTTGACCCGAACGTCTTGTCTTACCATGTGCCTATCATCATGAGGGAGCAGGGTGCGGTTGTCAGGTGAGGTGGAGCCAGCCTTTGGACATCGGGTGAGACGAGGTCCGCCCTCGGACGTCGGATGAGGTGGAGTCTAGCTTTTATCCATCGGGCGAGGCCGAGCCCGGCCCTCGGGGGTCGGGCGAGGCGGAGTCTATCCCGTGGGGATCAAGCGGGGCGGAGCTTAGCCCTCGAGGGTCGGGCGAGGCGGAGTCTAGCCCTTAGCCCTCGGATGAGGCGGAGCCGAGCCCTCAGCCCTCGGGCGAGGCGGAGTTGTTCTCCAGCCGTCGGGCGAGGCAGAGTTGGCCCTCGGGTGTCGGGCGAGGTGGAACAAAACTCACGTCGTTCGGGCAAGAAGCGCAGCAATGCTCTTGTCCGTTCGGGAGTTTTTAACGTTCGATGTTTATTAGTTTCACCTCCTTGGGTACCCCGGTATTAGGTCCCCGACAATCCCCAACCTCTTTAAAGCCGTGAGGCCCTTTATGCCCTCGGGCAAGGATTTTATTCCGGGGCAGTAAGCGACGGATAGATCTTCAAGGGAGACGAGGCCTTTTATCCCCTGCGACAACGATGTGAAGCCCGTACAGTGCACGATTGAGAGCTTTTCAAGGGAGGCGAGGCCTTCAATCCCCTGAGGCAAGGATGTGATGCCCGGGCAAACATGGATTTTGATCTCTTGAAGAGAGGTGGTGAGGCAGCACATGGATTGTGGAAGGCAAGTCAGCCCCGGCAAGTTTGTAATCTTGAGTTTGCGTAGAGAGCAGAGTTCTCCCAGGCAATCGGGCAACTGCTGAAGTGCATCGCAGTGATTTATCTCGAGCAACTGGAGGGATGTGAGTTGACCCATTGATTGGGGGAGGCTGGTCAGGCTATCGCAGTCTTCGATGGTCAACTCTTGCAGAGACCTGAGTTCCCCTAGCAACTCGGGTAGGATGTAGATATTAGAACACTCGTCCACTTTCAGGGACCGGAGGGATGTGAGGCTCCACAAGCTCTCAGGCAGCTCGGTTTCCACCCCAGGGAAGGCACTAATCTCCAATGACTCGAGCGCCGTCATGTGCTGCAGCAGCTCCCACCCATGCCCAGATCCTAGTCCTGTCATATCGCTTAGCTGAAGCTCCTTCAGGTGGCTAAAACTAGGGGGCGAAGAGGACCCCTGGCATTGGCCTTGTGACTGCAGCAGCAGCTCACTACCCCACAACCGCATCTGCTGCAGTGACAAAGGAAGGTGCGGCTTCACCTCCAACTTAGGACAATCATAAATCTGTAACTTTGTTAGGCAATTACCAACTTGGATGACTTGTCCCAACTGAGGTGTGAAATTGCAGCAGCATCCCCCATCTTCTCCATCGAGCATGGTCCTCTCTGCTACCATCAACACCTCTCCCAGTCTAGGTAATTCAAACATCTCCAACTTCACCAACAAAGGAAATGGGCCTCCACTTATGCTCTCAAGAGAAGGCATATCTTGAAGATTAAGCTCCTCCAAACAAGGCAGCTCCACAAGCCCATGTAGATTCTTCAAGTTTGGCAAATCAAATAGCCTCATCACCTTTAAAAATGGGAAAGGAGCAGGCCCCTGTACTCTACCACCAACTTGATTCTGCATCCACCGTGCATATTGCCTACCCGTATACTCCGAAATTTCTAGCTCTTTAATCCCAGGTGGCGGTTCTAGACCATCAAGGACAGCCTGCTCCAACTCAGTGTTCGCCTCACCTGCATCATATTCCATCCATAGGTGCAGCCTCTGTATATTTGTCTTCTGTTTCAAGCGTGCCATGTGTGCATCATTTGGCTCTATCACGTGTGCAATACCTCTGATTGTTAGTTCATCACCAATCCGAGATACATTTGAGAGCTAACCCAACTTTTGTAGTCGACTGAGTTGTCCAATGCCGACAGGCATTCCTCCTAATTTCATACAATCTTTTAGGTTCAAAACTTGAAGCTTCTCCAAGTTGCCGATGCCTTCAGGCAACTCCACCAGCTCAAAACAGCCCTGAAGGTCTAACCACTCCAGATTTCTCAGTGTTGTGATAATTGATGGAAGCCTCTCAATTTTGGTGAAACTTAGTCTCAAAACTCTTAGCTTCTCATTTCTACCAATAGAGTTTGGCAACACTGTAAGCAAAGCAACTGCAAAGATCAATGCTTGAGATCATTTGACAATCACCAATAGATTCTGGTAAACTCTTTAGGAATCTACAGTGTGACAGACGTAGTGTTCTCAACTTTTTCAGCTTACCAATGGATTGTGGTAGCTCCCGAAGTGAATAGTTGTATCTTACATGAAGTGCTTGCAGGCTCCAAACATTTGAGACAGTCTCAGGAAGTGTTTCACAACTTAGTCCTGAAACAGCAAGATATTTCAGATACTTAACCTGAGATATGGTGTTAGCTCCTTCTGCATTGAGATATCCCACCGTAACACTGCGCAAGTGCTTTGCATGCTTCAATGCCATGTCATATATGTAATCTTCATACTTACGCATATATACAACACGTGCTTTTCTGAAAATATTTTTAGGTACCATATGTTCTGGCCGTTTAATCAAAGAAAAATATCTATAGCTCTTTGTGGTACTGCTGGTTGCCTCCTTTGGCATGTCAAATGAAATTTCATCACCCAAGATAGACAAGGCAAGATCATGAACCAAATCATGCATCCCACATGCAACTCTCCCATCTTCTTCTTCGACATTTTGCAGGAAAGACATTTGCACAAGAGAATTGAAGTGATTGTGGACAACATACTCCACGTTTAAGTAATCAAAACCATCCTCTGGAGTGATCATATCATGAGCAATCCACAGGTCAATCAATTGTTCTTTATCAATCCTATGACCTTTGGGAAACACTGAACATATTGTAAAGCACTGTTTGAGATTGAATGGCAAACGGAAATAGCTCAACCTCAAGCATGCAGCTACTCTTTGTTCTTCACCCTCAACATATAATAAATTGCTGTCTCTTGTGGCCTTCCACTGATCTATCTGATCCTTGCCATGAAGAACACCTGCAATAACTTTAATTGCCAATGGTACCCCACCACATTTATCCACAATCTCTTTTCCAACGTTACGAAATTCAGAGGCCATATCATTTGCAGCCATTCCACAACTTTCTATGAATAGTTTCCAGCTGCTAGCCTCAGATAATAGTGGCAGCAAAAATTGGTCTGTGGATCCCACTGTTTCTGCAACTTTACTACTGCGAGTAGTCAGTAAAATCCTGCTTCCAGGTGCACCAATATTGATTAGAAATTCCCTAAATTCTTCCCACTGAAATTGGGACTCAGTCCAAACATCATCCAATACAAGAAGAAACCTCTTTCCATCCAACTTGTCTGAGATTGTTTTTCTAATATAAGGCATGCCATGCTGTCCCGGATTATGGTCAGCAAAAGCTTCAAACATTTTTTTGACTAGGTTGTCGACATCAAATTCTTGTGACACATGAACCCATAGTGTGAGGTCGAAATGCTTGTTAATGTTACCATCATTGAAAACCAGTTTGGCTAAGGTAGTTTTACCAGATCCACCAAGCCCGATGACAGAAATTATCTTGATTTTCAGTTGATGATCAGTCTCTTGAAGCTTGGATATTATATGCTTCTTATCTTCATCTCTTCCAACTACTGATGACACATCAACGTCAGGCCAGGATGAAGTCCCCCCAGTCCTCATGTTTGTTTTCCTAACAGGAGGATCTACTGGGATACTATTTCTTATTGCATTGTAGTCTGTTCTTTGTTTCACAATTTTAGCAAATCTCCTTTTGATTTTCTTGATCTTGCTGGCCACCTTGCATTGTAAAATGAATGGTTTTGGTTTTGTGCACATGTATTTGGAAATAATACCACCATCAGCAGCAGCAGCAGCATGTTTCTCAACCTTTAGCTGGAACTCATCAACAACATTATCAACAGCATAGGCGACATCTTTCAACCTTTTCAGCCAGTTTAATGTTCGATCATTCCACACAGCTTCATATCTTGTTTGCAACCAACCGTTGATCTCCTCAACTTGATCTCGGAGGTCCTTGAGATCTCTTTTCACACCCACAATGGAGGTGTACTCTTTGATTAGCAGTGGAGCTAACTTATTGCCCACAACCTTCAATGCCATAGATACCACAGCAGCTTCCATACTTGTTGTAATTTTGAAAATGTCTCCACAAAATTTCCTACAAATTACAATATTAAATTATTAGCTTCTACTGTCGACAAAGTAAAAGAAAAGTGGGAAAACAAAACGAGCTATACTGAAATATGGCCTTTACAATATACAATTAATTCAGTCACGTTTGTTTCTTTATCCACTGGCATTATTTATTGATATCTGACCTACGAAACCGGGTGCAGTTGTAGTAGCAGTAGCTCCTTAGCCTTTGGTCTTTGGGTCGCTGAAGTGCTTCTTTGCAAGCAAACTGGCACTAGCCTTCTTCCTCCTTGCATCATAAGCAGCGAAAATAAGCATAATATAGGAGGGATCAGGGATTAAATGCTATGGCATGAAAGCAAACTAAACAGTAAACACTTAGTGACTGGAAGATGAGCATACCATATCCTGTAGCAGCTCAGAAGAATCAACACTGATGTATGACTTCTGAGTTTCCAACCTTCAGTACCTGATCATATGCAGAACAATGACCAATTTTGTTTGCAGAAAACAATTGCACTGAAAGCAGAAGTCTAGATGCCCATTGTTGGAGAAGAAATGGACGAATGTTGCCATGGAAAAAAGAAAGAACAAACAACATTAAAAAAAGTTGTTCATGGTAAAAAGAAAAATACCAGGAGCTTAGGTCTGCTGTTATGATTTGTGACTTAGGAGTACTCAGCCTTCAGTTCAGTACCTGAGAAGTCAAAGGCCAAGTTAATGTCCAAAAGATTACCGTTCATAGCATACAACATACAACATACAACCCTGACTACAAATAGATCAATGAACACAACAAAATGGTAGCGTATTCCTGGTTAAAAATACTGTACGATACCTGGACCTCAAAATGCCACTCCTGCTTGTGCCCTCAATTCCTCCGATGCAACATATGCACAAAATCATAGGTTTCTAGAGCTCGGTGCCATCTCCAAATTCCTTTACTCCCCTGCAATCTATGCACACCAGATCTTGCGGAATCTTGATTGCAAAATGCGGGCTTGTGCCTAGATCTAGATAGCCAGTGAGATGAGAGCACTCGGGAGTCAGGATTGGGAATTCTGCTAGCTTGTGAGTTGTGACGCTTCCTAGTGAGCAAAACCAACTGCAGGCCAAGGGAAGCAACAAGGACACAAGGAATAATGCAAATCTATATGGCCAACTGTCCGAGGACTCCCATGGGCCATAGTCATAATTTAGAGGGCCAGGATACAGGACTGTAAGAGCCCGGACAGTACGGTGAATGGAGCAATTTTTAAGTTGGTCCTTCATGTTAGAATCAAATTCGAGTATGTTACATAATATTACTATTCTTTCAAGCACTGAGTTTGTCATGGATGGTGGGTAGATACAGTGTTTTGGACCTTTTACATCTATGTGATCTCGACCTATCATTTTATACAGATACACATGGCTCATCTGCTCCGATTAGATAGCAAGATTCATTGTGCTTAAGCTTGTATGAACATGTCTGAGTGTCTGACCTTATAGCTTGTATTTAAGGGACTAAGGGATAGGATTTGTAAGCCCGTGTTTAGTTCCAAAAAAAGTTCCAAAAAAGTGCTACAGTAACCATCACATCGAATCTTACGATACGTGCATGGAGCATTAAATGTAGACGAAAAAAAACTAATTGCACAGTTTGGTTGGAAATCGCGAGACGAACGTTTTGAGCCTAATTAGTCCATGATTAAACACTAATTGCCAAATAAAAACGAAAAGTGCTACAGTAGCCAAATTCCAACTTTCCCCCCAACTAAACACGCGCTAAGGCTTCTAGGATGTTGCAATTCTTCCATAACGATGTGTTGTCATTGCAAAAGTTCTCGTGCTGCACGGCTGCGCATGCACTGTACTCAGGACAGGAGAGGAGCCGCCAAGGTAATTGACCGACTCTGAGACTTTGCTCAAGCATCGATACAAGGGGGAACGGGTTAAAAGAGGCTGCTGGAAATGCGTATCTGATAACAGCGAGTAGCATTGAAATGCGTAGTCTTAGCAGCTAAATAATGTGTTGTTGTTAGATATAATGACGAGTCTGAATCTAAAACAAAACAGCATCGGCCGGCTTATCAGGCACAGAAACCATCAGCCAAACAGGCTGCAGCATGAGTAAAACTGTAAAACTAGGATAGGAGCAGCAGCAGGCCAGCAGCAATGTTGGTTCATGTCACTGAAATTTTGCACATGTTCACGCGCTGCACTGCTCCTTAGGGAGAAGAGAGAAGCAGCCAAGGGTGACTGGCCAACTCTGAAGCCTTGGTCGAGTGACAATGGCTAAGAAAAAGATGAAGCTGAGCTGGAAAGGCGTACCATGTACACGCGGAGCTGCTGGGATTGCCAGACCGCAGAGAGATCCCATGTGCACGCGTACCATCTTGCCTCCATCTCCATGATTCATGCCACAGTTAAAGATGGAGGGACCCAAGCAAAGCAAGCAACCAAGGATTCTCAATCTCTTCTTCAGAAGACGAAATAAATGAGTTCTTGAAAAATAGAAAATACTATCGGGGACGGGGAAGATGCCCCGGAGTTGTGGCACGTACCGTGGCGACTGACGAACCAAGTTGAAGTTCACATTTCACACGGCGCTTCGTTTGACGTTGAAGCAGCAAGGCTCCACTGGTGCGCGGTGGCACATTTCGTCGAACGGGCGGCGCGCACTGCGACGGTTTGAGTGCTCACGCGTTCGCTCCCACCGTAGGACAACGCTCGGGCGTCGGCATTGCACGTTCCCACCAAAGGCAGGCAGGCTCGCGATTCCACGTCCGTGCGCAGGGGCCGCGCGGTGACCAAGGATGCAGCCAGGCAGCGGTTCACTCCCAATCCATGCCCGTGCGGGCGTGCCCTGCTGCTGGCGGCTGCTGCTTCTGCATCTTCCACCCCTCATGATCCTAGATCGCTTGCACGCGGCACGCGGCCTAGCTTCGTCTCTCCGGCACGGGTTGATCAATCATGGCTCCACGGTCTCTGTACTGAGGAGTGAGGACAAGCACTGTGCCTCGCTTGAGTGGCTGCGACGAAGACGATAACAGAGGAGCGAGCGGTGGCAGCGCTGTGGACAGAGGGAGGTTAAAGGCGACGCGAGGAGTCCGTAGTCGGCGACAACTCAACGAGACTGCCGACAACTCAATTCCTTAAAAAAAAAAAACTGCGGCGTCATCATGTTGTTCATCACACACACAGAACGTGGCATCTTTCGATCTGAGCTCAAGTGAAAATGAAAGAAATACGTATGTATTGTTTGTTCTCTAAAGTTTGATCTACCCAAAAAAAAACGTTTGAATCTGGTGATGCAGACTCTCGTGTGCTTCATGTATTGGAGTTGGGTACTTTTTGTTTCTTTGCAATTCTATTTTTTGAGATGGGATCCACATGGAATGCATCATGCGTCACGCGATAAAACACAAAGTTTGGAAGGCAGACCTTTGAGCAGTTGGCAGAAATTGCACGCGATAAAACACATGGAATGCATCATTGCACGTTCGGCCGCGTGCATGCAGGGCTGCGCGTCCCTGCCTCCATCCCCCTCGGACGTTGCGTTCAGCTGGTTGCCGGCCGCAGCTCCGCGCGCTCTTCGGCCACCACTCCGATGCGGCAGGTTATAGGCCGCTCGAGCCCGTGCGTCGACCACGGTGGAGGAGGTGCAGGCCAGCGGCGAGAGGAAGCCTTCTCACTTCTTGGAGGAGCTGATGTTCTTCCTGGCAACCTACCTTTCAGCTGAAACATACGTAACATCATATATATTTTTATGACATCCAAACAAAACACCTGTAATATACGTCTGAAAACAAACGAAACATTTGAAATATACGTTTAAAACATACGTGTATAGCCATAGCAACATATACAACATCCATATGAAACACTTGTAATATACGTCTGAAACACTTGAAACATGTATGTATAACCATAACAACATAACATGCAATATCCAGATAAAACACTTAAAATGTACATCTGAAACGCCTGAAACACTTGAAACATAAGCTTGCAACATACGTATATATCCATTGCAACATACGCAACATCTCATATCTGATTTTGTAACATCCAGATGAAATTGAAACATAAGTCTGAAACGTCTGAAACACTTGAAACACGACGTCGTCGGCAGTCATGGCGTATCTGGTGGGGAACTGTGGTAGCCATCAAGCTCGGGTCAGGGTGGACATCGAGAACAACGGCCTAGCATACACCCAGGCACAGGGGTAGGCCTCCCCTTCCTACCGCAGTCGCCCTGATCGGCTGGGCCCAGCTGGCTGGGCGCCTCACATGGATACTATTCACATGAACCAGCTAGCAGTACTTCTCTCTCACATAAACGAACCAGCAACGATACGAACCAACCAACCGAACAGGCTAAGTGTCTTCGACCGGCCGCGGGAGACGATGTCCAGACCGGCGACGCCTCCTCTTGGTGTCGCCAGGGTGGTGGTGGTGAGGTGAACATCGTGGCTGAAACATACGTTTGAAACACCAGAAACACTTGAAACATAAGCTTGCAACATACGTATATAACCATTGCAACATACGCAACATCTCAGATCTGCTTTTGTAACATCTAGATGAAATTGAAACATAAGTCTGAAACATCTGAAACAATTAAAACACGGTGTCGTCGGCGGCCATGGCCTACCCGATGGGGAACTGTGGTAGCTAACAAACTCGGGTCAGGGTGGACATCGAGAACAATGGCCTAGCATACACCTAGCACATGCCCAGGCCTCCCCTTCCTACCGTGGTGTCTTCGACCAGTCGCGGGAGACGATGCCCGGACCGGCGACACCTCCTCCTGGTGTCGCCAGGGTGGTGGTGGTGAGGTGAACATCGTGGCCGCGACGGACGAGGCAGACTGGGGTCTAGCGGGGGATGGGGCGCAGCGCGGCGCAAGATGGAGGCGCGCGGCGGGGGATGGCCGTGGTGGTGAGGTGGAGTCAGGGCCGGCCCTGGGGGTGGGCAGGGTGTGCGGCTGACCCTGGCCTCTAATTTTGGTGGGCCTCTCCCCATATAGTAGGTACTAGTATATATATATACGATTTTGTCTATAATACATATATACATGGGCTTTTAATTGCTGCGTGTTGCCTATTGGGCTGTTGGCTAAATATAGAAGCAAGCAAAAGTCAAGGAAGAGGCCCTTCGACGCTTGGGCCCATTCACCTCATGAACGACCTGACCTCATGCGGCGGCTGGAGGTAATCGTCCTCATCCGTGATCGAAAGCGGATGCGAGATGTTGCTCGTTCAATTTCGATCCCAATTCCCATCATCCTCATCCATGATCCCCGATCCATTTGCGTACCGCTTCAGTTCATCAATCATCACGGATTAACTGGATCAAAGTATCAAACCAACGCACAGGAGATGAGAGATCATCATCCATAGGTAAGCACCGCTTCGGTTTGACAAAGAACATATTGATGATTAATTTATTTATTGTAGCCTACGTACCCTTATAATTGTAAACTATAATTGTCTATCGCTTATTTAATTTTAGGATTTGGATATAATGTCATCGAGAAAGTTTGAATCGGGTGCTTCCAAAAGGAAACGGAAAAGAAATGCTCAGCGATGATGTAATCACCGAGAGGATCTCTTGATAAATTTTTCAAGACTAGTACGGCTGCTTCGACGAATCCTGATGAGTTGGCGATAGTTGCTGTGGATGTAGCAACTAATGAGAATGATGAAGAAAATGTTGACATCGTAAGCGCCGCTGATAACAATGTAAGTGACCACGAGAACACCGCTCCTCGCATCGGGTGCGCAAGAACAATCTACTAGTATTGATGAGCAGCCAGTTTACACTTCGGATATATATGATCCAAGCAATTGGGATAAACTTGATAATAAGGCACGAGACATATTAGTTGAGAAGGGGCCTATAAGAGAAGAGAACATTGAATTCCCTCGTGATGCTGAATCAAGACATTTTTCATGTGGCCATTATTTTAGAAAACTAAGCAACGGAGAGTTACATGATAGAAAATGGTTAGTTTATTCAAAGAATGTTGACAAAGCATTTTGTTTCTGTTGTAAGATCTTCAAGTCTAGCAGTACGAGTGGCTTAGCAAATGATGGCTATAGTAATTGGAGGCACATTAGTCAGAAGCTTAGAGAGCATGAAAATAGTCCTGAGCATATTAGGAATATGAACAGTTGGAATGAAATGAGAGCTAGACTGCGGAAAAAGGAAACAATTGACAAAGAATTGCAGCAACAAATCACAAAGGAGAAAGAACGTTTGAGGCAAGTTTTAATAAGGATAGT